CTAATTTTGGTGAATATTTTTGTCATTTTTGGTAAAAAGTGATATTTTCTTCTTGTTAAAAACCACAATCATTTATGGAGAAAAATGATATTTTTGAATTCTTGTTGAAAACAGCAAGTCCCATTGCATTGATACTATGCATATTGTTCATTTTCTAATGATACATTCTGTTCTTTAATTGAAATGTGCATTGCTAACAGCGAAGCTATCTCAGCCGAGAAGCTGCTTGTTTTAAAAGGTGTCTTCAACCAATATTATTGTACGGGTCTGAAATCTGGGGTCATGAAATTCAAGATTACAACAAATGGGATAAAACAATAACAGAAAAACACAATTGAATTTTTACAAACAACTACTAGGATTGCATGCAGAGCTGAAGTAGGAGAATTCCCACTCTTAGTAGACATTCAGATCAATTTAATAAAATACTGGACTCGTATCAGTAAATTACCAGACAATAATATCACAAAACAAGCATACCTTGAACAAAAGAAATCAAATTTACAATGGTATTCTTCAATACAAAAAATGATGAACAACATTAATTTTTCACGAGAACAACAGAATGATTGGTTAACAAAACATGTACAGCAAATTGGAAAAGTTGTCAAACAAAAATACATAAATTTCTGGAGAAAAAATATAACTGAAAAAACAAAACTGAGAACTCTTATAATTTTGAAAAATACTTGGATGTGTTGAATTTGAAGCAAAGAATTTGAATGACAAAATTTTCAACTAGTAATCACAATTTAGCAATAGAAAAAGGGAGGCATATGCAACTAAAAATATCGACTGAAAATAAAATTTGCAAACAATGTACACAGAATGAAATAGAAGATGAACTGCACTTTGTCATGATATGTCCACAATATAAAGTAATACGCCAACAAATCATTCAAGACATTACATTTCCAGAAGAAACACAGGATGATCTCCAGAAATTTAATTTCTTGATGACTTCAAAAGATGATGTAATAATAAAAAAGATTGGCAATTATATTCATAACGCATTTCAATCAAGGAATGAAAATGCCATTTGATATGTAACACTTGCTTTATCCTATTAACAACTAACTTTCTTTTTGTAGTAGTAGTTATCACAACTAATCTTTATCGCTATTAACTGATAGAAACATTGTATTTCCTAAGGATGCAATAAAGTTATTATTATTATTATTATTTACATGGTGATAACAAATTTATTTTACATATGTATATTGCAAGGGAGCGATTGGACTGAATGCAGATGTGAAGCAATGTCTATGACAACTTGAAATCACCAGTATTAACTTATTTTCAGAAACTAAAACTTTTCTGAGAAATAAATTGGGTGAAAATCCTTATACATGGTTACTAACATTTTTTATTTGAAAATTCTTCTAGTTCAAAAAATTGGTTATGCTTCTTGTCTCTGGAAAAATTGAAAAAGGATGTGATTCTAACACATAAGAAAATATAATTTTGTTTAATACATGCATTTAAGGTTGATTTGCTAAAAAAATAAAAATTTCCCCATTCTTAACTACTGGTATATGTGGCGCTCTTCACTGGAATGCGAAATTGAAAAGAAAATGTGCAAAGGACATATTTTAAATTGACTCAAACAATGGCCTCATTTGCAAATGAAAAGTCAACTTTAAATCGGTTCAATTGTGAGGCTGTCATCTTGTTTGTTGAATGAACAGAAAGTAAACACTTGATAAAACGACAAGTCTAAAACACATGATGTGAAGTCGACATATTCAGTGTTCTCTAATTCTATTGTTTATATCATTAAAATGCAATAGTAGTCACCTGCGCATACAGCAGAGGGCAATAGCATGCCATTGTTTACAAACAAACGTCTACCCATAAACCTTTGTGTTTTTAGCATACATTGTTATCCTTGCTTAGGATTCAGTTCCCACACCTGCACATTTGATAAATGACCCCTCCGCTTTAAATCAATGATGTTATGCTGTAAAACAACTTAATTTCAATATTTTGATGTTTTGAGCATATTCACAATTTTGTTAAGGAAACAATGAGTTTTCTTGTTATTTCACATGTTCATGCAGATTTAATTTGCAGTTGATTTTACTTATCAGCGAAAATAGCAAAATTAAAACCCAGTAAAAATTAATGCGATTACAGCATCCAGTGTTACCAACCCATGATATCATTTCATTTTATTCGGTATGTTATTCATCAAGTTTTTGTACTACAATTTACAGATACAACAACTATACGTAGGGGTACCAGGAACACAGACAGCCACTGTAATCCAGTTTCAGTGAGTAAACGTCTTATTCATTACCATGGAAACCAAACACCGCATAATTATATAACACTATTGTGAATAGCATCACAGGAATACACACACAGTTAGGTGGTTTTATAACGATACAATACACACACAGTTAGGTGGTTTTATAACGATACAATACGCACACAGTTAGGTGGTTTTATAACGATACAATACGCACACAGTTAGGTGGTTTTATAACGATACAATACGCACACAGTTAGGTGGTTTTATAACGATACAATACGCACACAGTTAGGTGGTTTTATAACGATACAATACGCACACAGTTAGGTGGTTTTATAACGATACAATACGCACACAGTTAGGTGGTTTTATAACGATACAATACGCACACAGTTAGGTGGTTTTATAACGATACAATACGCACACAGGTGGTTTTATAACGATACAATACGCACACAGTTAGGTGGTTTTATAACGATACAATACGCACACAGTTAGGTGGTTTTATAACGATACAATACGCACACAGTTAGGTGGTTTTATAACGATACAATATGCACACAGTTAGGTGGTTTTATAACGATACAATACGCACACAGTTAGGTGGTTTTATAACGATACAATACGCAACCTGTATACCATTTATTTCCAAAATGACTCCACTAAATACAGTGATAAGAAAGTGTTTGACTGGTGCAGGAACGTGGTAAAACAGAAGTGAATCTGACTGCAGTAAAATAAACACAGATTGGTCAATGCCAACCATATGCAGATGTAGATTGACTCTTATTGAAATAATTTTTGCATTAATTGTTTCAGCACAATTTCACAAAATAGTCCCACTTATAGTCTGCCCAGAAGTTTGAATCAAAAATGGTCAAATTTTTTGGGTGAAAACTGAAAATTCACTCAAATTTTGTTTGTTGGCTCCAAAATTAGGGTTCATTTCCAGAAATGTTGAAGAATATAGTCTGTTGGGTTAAAAGGAAATCAGCGTTATTATGGTAAAATCAAATATACCAATAATAACTCCAAAATCCAAAATGTTTAGAACAGAATCAGTGAACTTCTTTGTGTGGATTTCGGTCAAACCCTGGTGGCAGCCATGTTTGTTTAGAGAACACTTAAGCGCATAATCGTTCCATATTTGGAATTCGCATTTCCTAATATGGTAGGATGAAAATACCCTGTAAAATACCGTAAAATTACAGCACTTTGTAACTTATGGCGTTATGGTGACAGATGTATAATAATATAATATAAAATTGTATGATTTCTCTAATTACAGACCTGGTTCAGTCATTGTTAGAATCGATTTATCCACAAAAGATAATTACGATGAAGACCAACTTCGTGAGACGCTGGAGGCTGCTGTGAACAATCGTTATATAGGAGAGTACTACGTGGATCCCAATCCCGATCATTTCAAATTCATGCCAGTTGGAGGTAAGTTTGCTGATTTCACTCTAATTAGAGCATGAATAAATAATTATTGTTGTTGACTACCGTAGTCTGAATTGTTAAATTAATTAAAATTTAATTATTGGAGTGTGTTCAGTCAGATATAACGTAATTGTAATATTACAATGAGTATAGCGGCAGCAATAATTCAGATGACTTACAATTTGAATATTAGTACCTTTTATTTTGTCACCGTCAAATGCTAGTAATATTGGAAAAGCAAGATTTCAAATAAATTTATAAGGTTTTATACGTCTGTAAAGTATGCATACCAGTAACTATTTGCAATGGTCAAATCTGTTTTGTCAAAACCAAAGTTTTAGCTAATTAGTGAGCAAGTTTGCTAACTTGCTGCCTCAATACTTAATTTGATATATATATGTTCATCGAAGTGATTTCAACCAAACAAAATATGAAGCATTGAAACAAAATACACTTACCGGTAGTCACAAACTAGTTTCATTTAAAAAACTTCAAGGTGAATTGACAGAGTCTGAATGTGTCCATCTTTTGTCAGGTTGTTTGCATTTAAGTCTAGGGAGAAATCTGGGGTGTCAAATTAATGAAAGGATTGTGGTATTTTTGACTCCCATGTGCGAAGCACAAAAGGAGTCTTTGCAGTTAGTGTGTCTGTATGTGTCTGTATGTGTGTGTATGTGTGTATGTGTGTCCGACTATGTGTGACCACTGCTATCTCAAGAACCATACATTGGTTTTTGATGAAACTTGGTACATAGATGCTCTGAACATATGCGCAGATTTGATTAGTTTTTGGTAAAAATCAAGTGCATATTAATTACCTAATTTGCATGATAATTAGCTATTTTTTAGTGGTTCCATGACTGTTCCACTGATATCTAAAGAACCACTCATTGGATTTTGATGAAACTTGGTACATAGATGCTCTGAA